TAGGGAAAAAATCATTAACTATTCCATGTAGTGAAGGCATGTTCCTAAATATTTTTAAAGATGAAATTCAAAGGTATTCACCTGCTAGGCGTTTTTATCTATGTTCATTCTTAAGGGATTTACTTGGTAGTGAAGATTGGGCAATTAGATATTATGACAATAATCAATATGCTTACATGGATATTATTAATAATCAAATAAAAGTAGTATGGAAAGAAGTTGAGTTGGTAGAAGCAAATGGTAGTAGTATCTCTTCTTCAAATATAATTATTGGTTTTTCAACGCATAAAGGAAGTCATTAATTTTTTTTTTATTTATTTATAATTATATTTATTATTTATATTTAATAAATTAAAAAACATTAATAATTATAATAATAATTATACTTAATATAAAAGATATTTATATAACCAATTTCTATGTTTATTATGTTTATTTTAATTTATTTTAATTTTTCTAATATTTTTACTAATTGTTGGTATATTGTTATAATTATAATATAGGAGGCGATTCTCATGTCAATCAAATCACAAACTTCTTTTATTTTGGTAAAAATGCCAAAAGAAAATAAAAGAAGTAAAACGAATGAACTGGGAGCTGAACATGGGTAAGTGTTTTAAGAATAAGGATGGTGGTAGTGGCTATTGCCTGCCACTTGTTGTTACTTCTTATTAGTGAAAATTTAAAAAAAAATCTAAAGGTACGTCAAAATTTTAAGCATTTCAAATTTCAAATAATAAAAAATCTAAATGCATGTTACAAACCTTTATCATATTCAGATGAGGAAACAATCAGTAACTTAGAAAAACAAGTCAACTAAAATCAATCATAAAGCTATTAGAGCATTGTGATCCTGATACACATGATTTTATGGAATTTTTTATAAACAATGATAGTAGTAAATCAGAAGAAGATCCACACAAGACGATTGAAATATTGGAAGACAAGTTAGTCAAAATGAATGAACACATTTTATCTCTTAAAAAAAAATTACATGTTGAAATGGATATCAATCAGGGATTGGTGGAAGAAAACAATGAGTTAATGGAAGAAAACAAAAAATTAAAAAAACAAATATTAGTATGTAAAATATGTTTAGACGAACCAGTGATGCATTGCACTCTGCTATACATGATGCCGAAACTATTTTGACCATTTGCAGATCTGGTCAAAATAGGGTCAAAATAAGGTCGAAATTGATTTTTACTATGTAGTTGCCTCAAGTAGGACCTTGGACAATTATAATTGAACTGGTATTGAGAAAAGTGGGTAGTGATCTCATTAAAACACCAGTCAGATCTTCAAGCATTTACATAATAAAAATTGGGTTTTTAAAAAAAATGGCCCAAAAAGGAAACTCGCTAGCCATTTTTAGTAAAATATTCTGAGTATTTTTTCACAACTTTTTATGTTTTTTCTTATAAAATCATCACATTTTAAAGCCATTCATTGGTCACATTACTACACTTAGTCACGAGAGGAAATAAATAGTATTGTTGTACAACGTATCACGTGATTGTTTCATCATATCTTTTGGTTTTGCGGATATCTCGATTTAGCGGATAAAATTTTCTCGTTATTATGGACAATCATATTTGAACTGGTATGTAAGAAAACATATAAAAAGTTGTGAAAAATACTCAGAATATCTTACTAAAAATGGCTAGCGAGTTTCTTTTTGGGTCATTTTTTTTTAAAAATCCAATTTTTATTATGTAAATGCTTGAAGATCTGACTGGTGTTTTAACGAGATCATTCACTACCCACTTTTCTCAATGCCAGTTCAATTATAATTGTCCGAGGTCCTTTATGGATAATAATGATCTTTGCCTTTTTTGGATAGTCTAATTTTATACTAATAAGCGTAATGTAACAACATTTTAATCGAACATATTGTTAACTATTTCTTAACGAAGACATTTATATATTATTATCTGTTAAACAGAAAATTTTTTTGTACACATTTAATTTGTATCACATGATTTGATCGTAAGTTTCGCTTTAGCGGATCTCTCGTAAGCATAAAAAAATTTGTGCACATATGATCAAATTCATAAAGTTACAAATTATGGAAATAAATAGTTCTTTGAATTAATCTTCCTATTTTTTTTTATCTTCTCAATATTCACATGCTTTCTCAAAATTAAAGTTTCAATTTCAGGTCCATTTAATAAAATCATTAAATGATTATTTAATGTATCAAGATTTATTTTGTTCCTTGATTTATTCTTTAAACTTTGTTTGGGAAAATGTTCTTTCTACATTAGCATTTGAAAGAGGTATAATAAGAGTTATTTTAATTAGGAGGGACATGTTTGAGTAATTAATTGAGAAGAACACAGTAATGATGCATGACAAACTTTTGACTTAGTCATTGACGTGACGAAAGTACTAATTAAAAATAGTTGCTCGCCAATGACTATTTTGACGATTTGACGAAATTGATGAAAAAATTAAATTTTTTGTTTTATAATAAAAATATATATATAAAAGATCCCCTCCCCCTTAATTATATTGAATGAATATTTTGAGTCTACAAAAACAACCGTAATAATAATATTAATAATAAACTATTATAATAACAACATTCAAATTATAATCACCGTGCTAGAAACTTCCTCCTTCTCTTTATATCCAATAGTAAGTTTATGAGATAATATTGCTTAAGGCAAGGAGAATTATCTTCTTCCTAACCTTCTTTACCTTCATTGTCTTAACCTTTTTTCCTAGGATTGATTTTTTGTAGGTAGAAGTTCTTGATAATGGAAGCAGCAATTCTCCTTGGGTAATTCATAGATTTCAATCACCAATTTTGCCAAATAAATCTGAATCCTGCTCAACGTTTTTTCAAATAGTGTTTAAAATCCTCCCACAGATTTCCTCTGTTCACCAATTGGCTTACTTGATGTTTCTTTTTATCAAATTAATTATTTTGGTTGAGGTGAGGCAAAAGGCTAAAAGATAGTCCAATAAACAATCAATAACATGTGGATAAGATAATTATAGTTTTTTCTAATGTTAGTAATAAAGATTTTGAATTTTTATATTTAATTATATTTATATTAATATTAATTAAAAAACTTTTTTATTGTTATTTATTTGAATTATTCTATTCCTATTTATAATTTTTTTGCTCTCATACTCGAGAACAAAAAAATGTTAAACATGAAAGAACTTTCTTGAAGTCTGCACTATTTGGATCTAAAATTTCATCTGATAATCTATGAAAGAAGAGTGACCTGACTAAATTAATCCAATCAATCAATTGATGACATTTTAGAAATGAACAAAAAAATAAGATCTGGGTTTTACACTGAATTGACATATAATAATAATGATGTAATTATTATTATTTTTTATTATTCATAATGTAAATTTGTTCATTATGAAAAGTGATCAAAAAACAACTCATATTATATAATCAAGCCAATATCATCATCATCATCAATAATTTTAATACTAAAATTGAGGTTTTTGATACTCATCCAAAAAATAAGTTTTTCGATTTTCATGTAGAAAACTTTTGAATAAAATATCAATTAGTAAAATAAATACATCCTAAATATAAATAAAAATATATATTATTTGAAAAATAAAAAACTTACTTTAAGAAATCAATTAGGTGATCTTTTATTATTGTCAATGTATCTTCTTCTACATTAGAACTTGATATTAAAACTGGAATATATACTAGATATATAGTATATTTTTTATCCCCAAAAAATAATGATTTATTAAGATTTGTTATTTTTTTTTTCCAAAAAATCACCAAAAAACTTTTTATTGTTTATTTACCAAATAACCTTAAAAAATGTTCAGCTCCATATAATTGTGAACTTTCCAATTTATCAAATTTACTTTTCAAATCTTTATATTGTTGTCTCTCTAATTGATATAGTAATCTGGTTCCCAGACATTTATTAAAATAATAAAGTATTCCATTTATAATTTCTTCTGTTGATCCATCATTAAACAAACTATTTATATATATATATATATTTATTTAATAATTATATTGATTTGATTTGATTTTTGATTTATCTATTATTTACCTATTATGTTGGCTATATTTTTTTTTTTGATACAATTTATAATGATCAATTATATCTACCACTGATGGTTTACGTGGTAATCGTACGACCTACATATACAATTAAACGTAAAGATGTATAGATATATTTTTATATTATTTATTATATTGTAATCCTTACTAATTGTGATGTATTAATATTTTCCCAATCTTGAACTAATATGGATTTTAGCATTTCAGGTATTGGAATTGCTATTATAGGTTTCTTGAGAATTTCATCCTAAAGACAATATAATATATTCATTCAATTAATGATTAATCATTATTATTAATAAAGTTTAAATAAGAGTTACTTTATCAATCGATTGTTCTCTTCTTCTCTTCTTTCCTTTTTCTGTGGTTGTTGTTGTTGTTGCAATATTTGATGACGCTGCAGTTGCTGCTGTATCAATATTCATTCGTCTACCTGTTGTTGCTTTATTTTTTTTATTAAATGATTCTTCGATTTGTTTTCGTTTTGATAAATTAGTTTCATTAAATTTTAAAACTCTGGGTTCTGGAACCCATTCATCCCAGCTATTTTTTATTTTTTATTATGTTATTTGGATTTTTTTTTTGTGCAAAAATTTAAAAATTTAAAAAATTTTCTTACGTGTGCTTCCAACCTTTATAATGTATTAAATAATGTGGTCCGGAAACATCTGATTTTGGGTGTTTTTGATCCAAATAATCTACATCTAGCACCTTATTGTTTTTTTAATTTTTTTTTAATTAGAGAGGAATAATTAACAAAACATTATTATAAACAGTATATAACATAAATACTTTAGCTTCATAAATCATTGGTCCATGATAACAAAGAATTCGTTCGCCTTTTTGATACAAAAATTGTTGTGACATTTATATATTTTTATATATATGATATATTATACTTTTATTAATTAATTAATTATTTATTTTATATCAATTTAAATTGAATTTTTATTGATGAAAGGAAGAAGGGTCGAAAAAAAAAATGTTTTTACCATTGTTTTAGCGGAAGAAATAAATCGAAATAAATTAGCGTCTTTTTTAATTAAAAATATGTTGATCATGGTTAAATAGTTTCCTTTTTCGTAAATTTATGTCTTACAAAATGAAATGATTACGATTGTTCTTTTTTAATCCTAAACTAACAAGTGACAAAATAAATTTGGTATTATTAGTATTTTTCATTTCCACACAATATTAAAATCAAATAAGATCAAAGATTGAGTGAGTTAAAAACTAACCTATTACACTTTACAGAACTGATAAATCAGAACTGTCCATGTACACATTCAGTTAAGTATATATACATTGTGACCATTGCCTCTAGGAAATCCACACAAGGTCTGTAAGTTAATAACATAAATTATGACCTAAAAAATTGTGAAGGCCATTCCCTCCATTTTTACACATAATGACAAGTTTGTATTAACAAATGGTCATATATCTGAATAAGTTATTATATTAAATGTATTAAAAGTCGTATTTTTGTTCAAATGATCAACGCATTTTGCCATATGATAATGTGTAATATATAAGTATCTCTTATCTTTTTCACTGATTCTTTTTTTTCTTTTGTAATCTATATAGTTGTGTTGTGCGTGAAAATGAAATCTATGTGAATTTGCAATTCACGTACGTGAAATTCAAATTAGCCAATCAGAATTTCATATCCAAACGCCCCACTCCAAAATTCCAATTATAAATTTCGATTTCATTTCACATACAACAGTTGCAAATCCACCTTAAACAGTTTTGTTAAATGCTTATCACACTTGGTTGCTTTAAATTTACTTTTAATCAACTCATCTAATGTTTCATACCATTTGTCCATCCTTCGGTTAATAATAGCTAGATTAGATCACATTATTCCAATTACAAGTTCCGTGTTTTACACTTCTTTCCTTTGAATATTCATCATCATCTTAACCCCAATGATTCTTTTTATTTAAACTTCTTTTTTTAGTAATTTTTCTAAATTTGTACTAGTTGCACAATAATATCACATGATCGAATCACCATCATAATAAAAAACGTTCGTTTGGAATAAAAATGCATAATAACAAACTATTTGAAACATTCAAGCAAGGCTAGTAAAATATGGTTCTATTTGTTTTACTATAAATCCGTTATTTTGTTTGATCTGATGTTATTTTTAAAACTTCATTATGCTATAATTAGTCGAATTAATGAATTAGTTTATTTGTTTTATTTGTTTTATTTATTAGGAAATTAAACAGGTACAAAATTCAAGGATCGGCTCCTCTGGCCGTGCGTTTAATATTAATATTACACGGGGCCCACAAAGGATTCAAACTTTAAGCTTTCAATTACATAATAATTAAAACTATAACTATATAGAGAAGGAATGAATTGAGTACAAAGGATGTCTTTAAAACCGAGATGTATTTCAATCGAAACATAATGCAAGCAATAAAAAAAGCTTGCATAATAATTAATCCATCTGTGAATTGTGAATGCAAATATGGAAATAAAGTCTTTTTTTTTTTTGTATTTAACCCGTTAATTTTTTTGGTTTTTTAATTTTTTTAGTTTTGTAAAAATTTTTAAACAAAATTAAATTTTTCTTATTGAATAAGAAAAATCGCATTCTTTAAAAATTATTATATATATACTGGTATATATATAATATAAAAAAAATTTTACAAACTCTTCCTGTCTTTAACCTCTTTATAAATCAATAATCATGCGAAATATATTTAAAAAAAATAATGATATAGAATCAAATACATCAGAAAAAACAAAAAAACCCTCCTTTTTCTCCAAATTAATGTTAAAAATAAAAAGTTTTAATACATGGTTTGATAAAAAATTTCCCAGGATTGCTAAATACAAGATAATAATAATAATATTTTTGATTTTATTATTGATTGGTTTATTAGTTATTATTATTTTTGCTGCTGTCGGTGGATTTTCTTCTTCTTCTTCTTCTTCTTCTGGAGACGATACTGGTAAACCCGGCAGTCAGTTAAGTGGAAAAGGCAAAGGAACTTTTTATCGTAAGTTTTATTTTTAATTAAAAAAAATAATGTTATTTTGTCAATTCATCGATTAATTTATTTTTTTTAATAAATAAAAAAGATCCGGATGCTGCAGTTAGTGCATGTGGACAGCAACATCACGATAACGAATTAATTGGATCAATGGTAAATAGTAATAGTATTTTTGTTTCCTTTTAAAAAAATTTGGTATATAATAATAATAATGTTTTTTTTTTATAAAAACTTTAGAATAAAGAACAATATGGTAAATTTGCTAATTCTGATGAATCACCAGTGTGCGGCATATGTATAAAAGTCACAGGACCAAAAGGAAGTGTTAAAGTGAAAATAGTTGACATGGTATTTTTATTTATTTATTTATTTATTTTTATTTTTTAAAAAAACAATCATGGTCAATTAATTAATTAATAATTTAATGTCTTGCAATATCAGTGTGCTGGATGTAAAAAAGGCGACATTGAGTTATCACCTAGAGCATTCAAAGTAATTTATCTTATTTTATTCAATTTTTTTTGAATTTATTATATGAAATATCTAAAAATTATATTATTTATCATTTAGAAAATTGGTAATCTAGATGATGGAGTAGTGCCAATTACTTGGGAGGGCTGTTAATTTGAAATATCAATAATAATAATAATAATTTAAAATCATCTAAAATAATCTTAATGTAATTTTATCTTTTGTATATTATATAGATGGATGGATAGACAGATAAATAAAATAATATAATAAGAGAACAATGATTTATTTATTTTGTAATGTGAATTTTAGTTGTTATTACAGGCAATTTCCAAATCCGTTACTAATTTGTTAAATTTGTTTTTGTGCAATAGAAATATTTTTAATGAGGGTAAAATACCAAAGTCATAAAAACTTCTTTTGGAATCTGATTCTGATGGTTTTTTTGTTAATTTGAAATTTAATTGATAATCTGAGTTCTATAGAAAAAGACAACAAATGAAAAAGAAAAATTTAATTAATAAAAATTAATTAAATATCATATAATTATATATAATCATTTACTTGTTCAATTATTTCATCTTCTGGATGAAAATAAAAAAAATTTGATTCGGATGATGACTAGAAAAAGAAAAAATATCCATTAAATTAAATATTTTTAATATATGTTAAAATTCCTCATGAATCTAAATATAATATATACCAATTTAGTCTTCTTTCTTTTTCCTATTTGTTGTTCCTCTTCCAATTCTTTATCTGCCATAGATTCAACTTCTTTATAAACTTTTGTTATAATAAGAAACCATTCAAATTCAAATGGTTTATTCTAATGGCAAATAATTGGTTAAAATAAATATTATTATCCCAAGTGTTCATATTAATCTTTTTATTTTACTTACATCTTCAATTGCATCCTCAATTTCTTCTTGAAGCATTTTATACAACGGTGGAATAATTTCCACTGGCATATTTATCAATCTCTCACTTAATATTAATCCAATATTTTTATTCCTATTCCTATTATTATTACTGTTGTTACTGCTGTTATTGACTATTTGATCAAATAGCTCTAATAATATTTCATTTAATTTTACATCTTTACTAGTTTTTTCTAATAAATAATTTATTAAACTCTTCATGCATTTTTTATTCTAAAAAATAAAACAATTAATAAATTAATAATAGATTATGATAAATTATTTTCAATAACTATAACAATTATTACCTTGTGTTCATTGATATTTAATACAGTTAGAAATGCAAAAGGATCAGAGTCACTTCCATCCACTTTAACAGTTGTGCCTACTGATGGTTGATTTACAATTAATTCTGTTAATTCACTCAACTCAAACAACTCTGAATCTGAAGAAAACAATTGTTTTAACAAAGTTTTTATTGAATGAAAATCACTATCTTTCGGATCAAAAAAATCAAAATCAACATTTATTATTTCTTCTCCCTAATAAATACATTAAATTATTAGATACTGAATATTAATTAGAGTGATTATATATTAGGGATCATATTTTATATAAGAAAAAATCGGTAATTTGTAGTAATTTATTGTAATTGATGATTACTTCTGATATTTCATTATCAGAATTATCAGAATTCTCTTCTTGTTCGTTACCATCCTCCTCCGCTACTTTTTCATCTTCCGTTATATCCATCTGATCCATCTGATCAGGGTTTGTTTCAATAACTGTTTTATCAACTTTGCGTTTATTCATTATTTTAAATAAAACTTTTTTTTCAATTTTTATCGTTACACCATTTATTTATTGTTAATCACTGTCTGTCTGTCACATGATTCGAAAACATCTCTCTTCTCGTTATCTATCTGTCTTTGCTTTATTACATGTGTGATTATACACTACATGTATTTCGAAGGTAAATTAATATGAAAATTTCCAACTATTAATTCGTAGATACAACTTTCCAAATACAATCGAAATAAATACAATAAAAATCCTGATGTCACGTAAGCTCGAAGAAGGTGCATAACCATCATGATCATATGATAAATAGTATTTAAGAGGTATACACAACTTTTTATTTAAAAAAAAAAGATTAATGATTTTAATGATCAAAGAATTGTTACGCGACCATAAAACAATTATTATTGTTGATATTTTGTTAACGATTTTAAAGAATTTTTTTCGCAACCCATTAAAAAAAAAGAAACCTTTCAAATGTGTCAATCCTTCATTTTTATTAAAAAGTTTGCGTGTAGAGTTATCATAGTAACTTTGAGGCTTAATTACTCCATGGTAACGTGAGATATAAACAAAATGAAATTGTAACTTTGTAGAGAAAGGTCTTACGATTTGATTTTTTTGGTTTTACATTTCTATTTTTTTGGAGAAATTAAAAAGATCTACGCATTCAGTGACTCACCACAAAACGAATTTTGCTCCACATATAAAATCAGTTATAACGAGGTTTGAGTCTCGATATAACGGATCATTTGGGAAAAATTCCAACCCTTAATCCAGAGATGGCATTGGACATATGTGAACATTATTCAATGTCCAAGAGTTTTCAGTTGGTCATGGACATTGGATACGTATGTATTGGGCAATGTCCACCATGTCCAATACCAACCCTGCTTTAATCCGTTAAATCGAGATAATTAATAAGGATCTTCGCTAAATCGAGATTCGTTGCGTGACATATAGTTAAATATTAATTGAAGATTTACATTGACTATTTTTATGTAAAACTGATGCCAGTCAATTAGTATTTAAACTTAATTAGGATATTTTATTAAAAAACGTGACATTTAAATTGAATAAAAATAGTAAAATAATAAAGTCACGTGCGTGGAGACAATAGAAATGACGATCATCATGGATCGGCGGACCACTAACTAATTATTATTTGAACAATATTAAAAAACTATTTTTATCTATAATAATAATAGTTGATAATAATACTAATAAAATATTGAATAAGTATTATTCATTTAAAATATAATCGGAAATTTCTTAATATTAACTATGAGTGTAATCATGAATATTACACCAAATTTTTTGTTACTATTATCTCAGAATACAATATTTCCCTTTTCGAGCACCCTAATATTTCGTTTTGTTAAACAATCGAAAAAAAAATTTTCAGAGCGTGTTCTTAAACAATGAAATATTAGCAATAATAATATTATTTTTATAGATCTCTCTATGATTGTTGTTTTCAGGAATAATACAGCAAAAATCAAATATCAATCATGATTGTTTATTTTTTAATTTAAAAGAAAGACGAAAACCACTTTAAACTTCAAAATAAACGTAAAAAAACAACAAATATTAAAATAATAATAATTTACAAAAAAAATAAATTTTATTTCTTTCCTCATTGCTTTTTATTAATACTACATACATAATTAATTTTTCAATTCAATTCAATTCAATTCAATTCAATTCAATTCAATTCAATTCAATTCAACTTCACACATTTTTTCTTTCTGTAAAATAATATCATGGCAATACTTTCTCATTTAATAAATTTTTCATTAAATCTTTACAACGTCTTGATACAACTTAATTACAAATACATATTCAGCTTAATCTTTTTATATTATGTGATTCGTCCTTACATAGAATACTTTAGAACACGTAAAAATCGAGCTCCTGGTCCATTACCATGGCCATTGGTTGGTTATTGGCACATTTATCTTTATGGTGACGTTGCAAAAAAACAATATGATTTAAATGAGAAATACGGTGACGTTGTAGAAATCGAAATGTACGGGTTTAGATGCATTCTGATTAGTGATCCTAAATTATTAAAAGATCTATTTAGTCCAAGTGTCCGTAGTCCTTTCCTACGTAGAATACCTCTGTTGCCCGGTTTCATTGAATTGGGTATGGACAAAGAAGGCTTGTTGTTGAATTTGGATGTTGATAGGTGGCGTCATAATCGTAAATTTTTCCAACAGTCATTATCTCCACCTTCATTCATCGATTTGAGTACAAAGTACACGCGAGAATGTTGTGAAGAGATGATGGATTATTGGAGAAATGTGAATGACGGAACTGTTATTAGATTAGAGGAATGGTATCGAGCTTTTACAAGTGATATGATGGGTTTGATAGCAGCCGGTGGTAAAGAAGAATCAATGAAAATTTTATACAATAGGGTCATTAATAATTATTCTGCCAAAAAAACAAAAGAAATCCAGAGTGAGAATAAAGGTGAAAAATACCGGCAATTACGTTCCGAGTATCCAGATGCTTGCGCATTTTATATTTTTGTACCAAAATTATTATGGAACTTGCCTTTTATTAAAAGTAGATATCAATATTATAGAAATGTACTTGATCGGTTGACAGATTTTGAAGTTAATTTCATCAAAGAACGTAAAAGTCAAATCGAAGAAGAAAAAACCATAACCACTAACAAGATCAATAAAACTAACAAACATGGTAGTAATATTAAACCAGATTTTCTAACAATGTTAATCACAATGAACGGCGAGGTTGAACCAACACCAGATGAAATTAATCAAAATCTTAGAGAAATGTCCAGTGCAGGAACAGGCACAACCACCACAACTTTATGTACAACAACTTATCTTTTAGCAGCACATCCTGAAATTGAAAAACGTATGCTTGATGAAATCTTGGAAGTCGTTGGGCCTGATCGACCAGTTGAATCTTCCGATCTTCCAAAGCTTGAATTCACCGAAGCAATCCTCAACGAAGCAATGAGATTATACCCAGTCGTGCCAATAACATATCGTTACTCGCCAGATTACGATACACAAATAGCTGGCTACAAGTTTCCACCGAATACAGTCTTCGCAATAGATCTTGGTCATATTCATCGTAATCCCAAATATTTTAAAGATGCTGATAAATTTGTTCCGGATAGATTTATGGGCAAAGATTGGAAAGATACCATTCCACAATTTGCTTTCTCGCCATTTGGTCATGGAATGAGATCTTGTCCTGGTAAACATTTGGCAATGACGGAAATGAAAGTTATTTTGGCTACTCTTTTTAGAAAATTTACCTTTAAATTAGTCAAACCTAATGATCCTCTTAATATTAAATTCACATTGGTAAATGATATTTCTGAATTGGATGTTTATGCCGAGAAACGAATTCTTTAAATTATTTTTTTTGTAAATTATTATTTTTTTATTTATTCATATATATATATTATATATTTGATAAATATATTTTTGATAAATATATTTTGATAAATATATTTTATTCTATTCATTGTAATTATCAAATGGATTTGTATTATTAATTTGTAATATTTAATTTTTTTTTTATTATATAATAAAATTTTTTGTGGGAAAAAAATAACAAGAATCAATTATTAATTTGTATTTGTACATTGAAAAAAAAAAATAAATACCAATATAAATTATATATATATTAATGTGATTGTAATAAACAGGAAGAAAAGTAAACGTTAATCAATTGACGGATAATTAATTCTATACCCTGATCGACTAATTGTTCTTTTTTTTTCTTTTTTCTTTTCTGTAAGAAAGTCCTATATATATTAATATTCTATATATACTTGTAAGAAAAAAAAATTAAGCGTACAGTTGACAACTAGGTTGATGTCTATCATTTCCATGTTTACGAATTTCATCAAAATCTGCCATACATCTAAATTAGTTAATAAAATAAAAATCAATCAATCGATCAACCTAATAGAATAAATTAATAATAGAATCCAATAATAACAAAACCCAAGAATTAATACTTACAGCCAACAAAATTCATATTTACAGCTTGAAACTTTACAAGTCATATGATTACAACCACCATTTTTGGAAATTCTAACTCCACATTTAGGGCAAGGTTTTGTTTCTCTTGTTAAATAATCGAGGGTTGCTGCCTCTTCATTTTTTCTTAACTTATCATATTCATCACATGACATGTTTTCATGCCATGGTATATCATGAACATAACATGATCTTGCTTTACAAATTTGACACGTCACGATTGGTGCATATTCTTAAAAACAAATTTAAAACCATTAATTGATTATTCAAAGAAAAAAATAAACAAATAAACAAATAGAATTTTATCAACTTACCACAATTTGCATGTATTTGTCCAGATCCACAACTAGGATTTTTACACCATCTAAAATCAGGCATCGAATTTAATTCTTGTCGTACTGTCAAAAGGTCAAATCTTTCAAACATTTCTTTTCTCACCAAACGTTTAACATTATCATATGTAAGGAGTTGAGCACAACCGGTAACTGGACATGTTATATTGATGTCACCTTTTTCATCGAGTCTTGTTCCTATGTGTGACCTTATACAATTACGACAGATAATTTTTTCATGACTACAAGTGTTTGTTATTTGTAAAAATCCTTTTTTGTTTCGTTTCTCCAAACATATCACGCACTCAAGTCTATTATCTTCTTCTTCATGGTTCGATCCCCCCTTTTCATCTTGCTTCGTAGTTGTTGAAAATTTGTATTCTTCTGAACTAGCTAAAGATGTTGAACTAGATTTAGATTTAATAGTAGGAACAACGAGTGTGTCGTTATTGTTGTTTTTGTTGTTGCAGTTTTTGTTGCCACTGTTATTTTTTTTGTCAGTTGATGAAAAATCCTTGGGACAATCAGATTTGGATAGCTTATTATAATCAGACGGACATGATGGTTTAGATGATTGTGATGGATAGTGTGGCTTAGGAATTTTAGGACCAAATTTAACTGGATATTCTTTAGGCGTATAAGTTAGTGGAGCAGTGTTGTCATCAACATTTGGTTGCTTACGTAATGATGGTGATGGTGATAGTAATTCTTGCGGTGGTAATGGCGGTGGTCTATTTGAATCAGATGGTATTGGTTGATTTTGTTTAAGTTGTTCGAACGTGTATATTGATTGTTGGGTTTTTCGTCGTCGAACTGGCGGTTCTGTTGAAGAAGAATACATTGAATTGGTTTGTTCACGATATTGTGATGATTGTTGTGGTTGTAAAGTTGAGTATGCTGAGTGTATCTGATAAGGTGGTCTTTGTGGTCGTTTTTGTGGTTGTTTTTGTGGTTGTTGTTGTTGTTGTTTCTGTGGTTGTTGTTGTTGTTGATTGGCAATATCCTTATTACTTCTATCCGAGTCATCTATACTAGTTATATTAACTTCATGTCTAAAATTATTTTTATTTCCATTAGTTGAAGATTTTTTTTGAGATTTACTGCTATTGGTACCCATGTAAAAAAAAATTTTTTTGGAAAAAAAAGAGTGTTAAAAATTAATAATAATAATAATAAATTTTTTTTAAATATTATCTAGAGGTGGAAAATTTGAAATTTACTTTTTATATAACTTCATTTATATTACTCTTTTTTTTTTTTCCAAGTTTCCAAATAAAAAATAAGTGTACAATAAATAATAATAATAGTACAATTTCTTCTCAAAATGAATTGGGGAATTTATAAATAAATAAAATTACACTAATATTAATTCAGTAAATCAAATTTATTTACCAATCAACTAATTGATTGATGATTGATTTTCTTCCGACTAACAAAACAGTAATCCAAGAATTCAATTGATTAACTTCCAATTAATACAAATTTATTATCGTGCATGCAGTTTTTTGGACCTTATTATGTAATTGGTCGGTAGAATGATAATTAGCCCCTAAAAAAAAAACTGTCTTGCTATTCAATAGCTCGTCAAACTAATGGCCCCACCTCCAAACCAATAGATTTTTGCTAGTATAAGATTATCTCTTAAACGGTCAGAGTATTCTTTAATGGCAGTGTTATGCAATTGGAACATTGTAACGCTATTGGAATGTTCCAATGTAGATCTTCAATTGATATTAACCAATAAAATTCGTGTGTATGACACTATACTTGAATTTCATTGGTTAACTTCATTGGAACCACATTTGGAATGTTCCAATTCCAATTGGAATTTATTAGAGTGCTCCATAAATGGCACAACACTGTTTAATGGTAACACAAATTAAAGTTTTGGTCATTATTATTGGTCAATTTAACGATCAGCAAAGTAAAAACAGTCAATCGACCAACTTTTAAAGAAGATTTTACAAAAACCACAAGGACAACACCTGGATTTTTATTTATAGGTTAATCGGCTGAATCTCAAAGATCATTTTTGTATTAGAAAGTGATGCCCTCAGAAAAAATGGTTTATATCAGAAAAATTTTATCGGCTATCAATAGCCGATTAGTTTAGGGACGTTACAACACTAAACATAATTTTATCAAATCGAAGTTTTTAAAATGGCAATACAACCAACCATCTTCTTTAATTCAACGTCAATATATGTGCACCATTTGTAACAAAAGCGATACAAGGCATCTAGAAACCTTGTTCGTCATGAAAATTCTACTCGTACATCTTACAATCAACCTCCTGCCAGTATAGTTTCTCTGCTTATGCAACATGTCGAGCAGTTTAAAAAATGAAATACATAGACGACTTTCTCTTCATTATAATAAATCAGGAAAACAACCTATCAGATTTCCATGTACTGACAGTGAATATGTAGCAGTGTTTGGAAAAGAATTAAATTGATTTTCACCAGCAAAGCGTACCTATCAATGTACTTTCAAAGGTTATGAGGAAGAAGCTATTACTTGGTGATCAACACGATATTATTAAGCAAATCAAAAAAGTTTAGTAATGAGTCATTCATAGTAAACTTTGATTTTTTTCGCGCATAGTGCGCATAGTGCATACGCATAGTGTGTGTAGGACTCACATGTAGTGAGTGTAAGCATTATAGAAAAGGTTTTTCACTTACCGTACCATGAAATATGCATGGCACATCATATCGTACTAAATTTTGGGGTTTAAACAGAATCAGCGCATATGGATACACTTTTTACAGTTTTAACGGTTATTGAATCACAATTAATTTGTTGAACCACCGTTAACAATATGATTTAAACAACTTTTGGATAATTATCAACTTCATCCTATCCATTCAATACCTTGATCTCTCAGCCTTAAAAATTCATATTTTTCTATAACTAGTGATATGGACTTAAATAAATTTCTGATAAAAAACTTGCTATAAACGGCTTATTAATTGTTAAATACAGTATAAAAAAATAAAGGCCATCGTGACAAAAATCACGTGGTATTGGTTACGGTATAATAGATTTGTCTATTTTGCATTAATCCCGAATTTGATAAATAATAAACAGATTGATAAACACTCATAAACCCAACTAAAGCTCCGCGTGGACTGACTCACAAGTCAACTAGATTTATTATTAATCATTTATTTATTTATCTGAGCGAAAATAAATTTAATTATTCAATTGTTCATTCTCTTGCATGTATTGACGTGCGCAAAATGCCATGCAAAATTACAGAATCGCAACATTTTCAGACGCAGATATAATCGTGAAAGTCGAGTCAATGCAATAGGTTTATTAGTATCCTTTTATAGTTGATGATTGAGTCACAGCCAGGTCACGATAATATAATGTTGTGTTGTTTGACGAAACGTTACCAAAGTTATAAGCTTTAAAAATATTAAAGCTCGCAAAAAAACTTACATTTTTATATTTTTTTTCTGTATCCCAATCTCTCATTTGTTTCATCAGTTGTCTTAAGGAGCTAAGTTTTTCTTTTGTTGAATACAATTCAGTTCCCACACACTCATTTACCACCAAACTCAAACATTTCTTACATAACATGAAACATTGATCGGGGTAGATAAAATCATCGATTAGGGATTTGTTCCAAGGTCAACTAATTTTCGTGTATATAATTATTATCAATGAAAATTTTACGCAAAAGCTTTTTATACTATCAATATTGATTTATCTTTATCCTTATTGTAGTGATCAACGAAAATTTCGTTAAAATAACTTGTGGTCTTCGCTTGAAAGAGCATAACTTCTGGTCCTCGCAGAGGATAATTGACATTCTAATAATATATCATTTTATGATAGAATCATTATTTTTATTAAACGTTAACAAACTTTTAAAGTAAATCAAAAATAAAAATGTTGATTTTATTTTCTTTGTTTAAAGCGCTTTGATAAAAGCAACAAGTTTAATTACTTGGTAAAAGGTGACAATTATGGAGCTTTACGTTTTATTTGCTTTGGTGAGTAAGCAAGGTTAGGACTAACATTGGT